CCAAAATATGGATGGCATAATTGTGCTGTCCTCATGCTAGAATGGTTATGTATACCTGTTAAGTTACACGATGTTGTAAAGATTGTAACTGTGACTAATACAAAAATAACAGATATTTACTTTGAAAACAGTGACTAAAAGCCCCTCTGAACAGCAAGAATCAGAGCAATTTGTGTTTATATCTAGTGTACATATAAGGTATAATCAGTTTACAGTTCACTCTTATAGTCAAAATGCCCTAAGAAATTATTGTAACTAGATGCAAGGAATAATAAATTATATTTATATTTTCTTTTTGCTGATAACTTTTATGTATGTGTACCTACTGAGGAATCTCATAATTTTGATAACATTAGATTTTTTATGTAAAATAAAGTAGAATGTTAGTGGAAGAGAAACTAATATCATGAATAATGATATTTTACAGAATCTGATACTTAAACATATAAATGAGTAGGATCTGACATGAGACCCTAAACAATGATTTGTGTTTATGCTACTAATAAAAAAATATATAATTTTAAAATCTTAACTTTAGTTACTCTTCCCACAAATATCTTTAATCAGTAAAACTGTTCAATGAATTTATATATCATTGTGCATTTGTTTTACCAGTTACAGTATTCACATATTCAAGCTAATAAAAACAAATAAAAACACTGCTGGCTGATCTCTGAAGGTTGTTACTAGTTATAAAATAGAGTGACTAAATTCTATGGACTCATATTACATATATGCATAATATTGTGTTTGTTGTCCTTCATTTATTCATTACAGGATGCAGGATTTCCAAAATTCTTTCTTTCTTTTTTGAGGTAACAGTGTGACAGGAATGGTGATGCTATGTGGAGTCCCATTAATGATTTGCATGTATTTTTATTTGTCTGTATATTCCGGTAGTAATGAGATTTAGCACTGCAATGGGTCTTCAGTACAGATAGCATAAATCTACCTTTCATTCTACCATTTACAGCATTATGACTTCTCAGTTGGATTACATATAAAATGGCCAAAGAAGTTAATTATTATTAAAGTATTGTATTGTATATGCAGTAATATCTCTTTGTTTGCAAAGGAGCTGATTTATAAGAAAATGCCTTTCTTTTCTTTTACCATCATCGAGCCTAATAAAAATTGATGTATCATTTTGTATAAATAAAAAAATATACTAAAACAATCAGGACCTATCATGCAGTTTATTCAAAATAAATTCATGTATAAATTTTATTTTATTTTATTTTATTTTTATTTTTTTACTTTTTTTTCAGAATAAATGTTAAAATGGGGACCCATTACACTAATCTTAAAGGATGATTTTTATGACAAATAATGTTATTATTTTATCTATTAATGAAACGTCACTTACACTATCTTTGTTTACTTCATTTTTGCACATGAAAGTGATAATCAATTGACATTTTAAGTAAGGACTAGTAATTATTACTCAGTTTTGCAAAGGATCAGCTAAGAGTCTCTAGACATTGGAATGATACATTTGAATTTTCTCATAAATAATATTGTTTCTGAAAGGAATAGCTTATTTTTATTTATTTATTTTAGATTGAAAAAAAGGTGTTTAGTTCCACCATTTTAGTTTTTCTTCTGATTATTAACCTGTTTATGAGTACTTGTATATTGTAATGAAGTGAAGAATTACTTTTTTTGACCAATGTATATTATGTTTGTATGCTTATTACTGAATACATTTTGTGTAGGAAAGTGGTAAATGCTTTATCACCTTTACTTGGTTGTTAATGTTTCTGTCAGTTTTATGTCTCATCTTGGATATATATTTTTTTATAAATGCTGTCACTAAATCATTGTGAATAATGTCTTTATCACTCCTATCTTATTTATTGCTGTTAACTGTATGCATGATTCACATAGTTATGTTTTGTATTGCAATAAATATTTATTTTTCTTAATTTGAGATATCTATTCATATTCTCATGCTAATGATATAGTGTGAATGAAATGAATCTTTTCACTTTAGCCTTTTGACAAATATCTAGGGTTGGCTTATATAAATCTTTTGATCCACCTGCTTATAAATTATTGAGTTTGAAATTTGTGATATTTCTTCTCAATAATCACCCAGTAAGTAAATGTCCACCCTGAAAGGAAAAAAAAAATCTATCACACTTTTTGCAGGGAATAAGTATTCTTTTCTCTCTTTCCATTAATAACATGTACCAGCAACTTATAAGATATTTACCATAAAATATATCTTGAGAGTAATGAAATTTATAGAAGTAATAAATAGGTATTAGTTAGCTGCAAGTTAGCAGTAAGTTGTACGCATTATATAAGTCTGAGAGTCTTCTCTGTGGGCCAGCAGTCCAAAGATCATACGTAGTCATAAAGCTTTCTGTCATCCAGATCTTTGATTGGGTAGTCTGCCAAAGCTCTGTTGTAACAATACTTAGTCGGGGGAAAATGTAGATGACCCTTTCTAATGAATGTTTTCTTCATTATTCCTCATAATTTCTTGACAGTGATGATATGGATAATATAGCAATAAAATACTTAGCTTCCATAATCTACTGTAGCTGAAGTGAAGACATTATTCTCCTAATTACTCGGTGTGCCAAAGCATTCATAATACCTAATCTTATACATTACTTTTGCACATTTGCACAAACTTGAGAGCATGAAGTGTCCGAGCAATTGTAATGCAAGGTCATTTTTCAACTATAATCTGTTTTGTGGACTCTGATGCAGACAAAGAGAAAAAAATGGTTTTAGGATGACAAACCTTGAACAAAATGTTTGACTAGATTCATTCATATAAAAGTTTAGGGATAAGATTAATTTTGGTTGCAGTGTACCATTTCTTTGGAGAGTAGCAACCATTTTCATGAACTAGTACTGATTATTCACTAGACTTGAAAATCATTAAAAAATGTATGTGTCAAGTGTGTATTCCCTCTTAAAAAACACATGCTATAGCAAAAATACTTCCTGTAAAATCTTCATTACATTTCTGCAATCATTGTTTATTGATTTCTGCAGTATATACAGTAAGGAATACAAAAGTTTTAAAATATTTAGGATTTATTTGAAGAACATGATATACTTTTATTTAACCCAGTGTTGCCAGAGTGGCAAGAATATATGCTATGTCCACTGTGTCTTTCTGTTTATTGATTGTCTTTACACATAGCTAATTCTGCAAATACTTAATCACCAAAGAGTCAATCACTAATTGTACCTAACTCACCTGTTTACCCTTTTCCTTGATTTTTGATAAGACCCCTTTTTTATTGCCATTAGTTTTGCTAATAACTTCATATTAATCCTAAACCAATAAGAAAAATAACATAAATCGATATAAGAATTTTCACTTTTCGAAAACAAGGAAGGGGGAAATCAGACGAGGATGCGCAGGTTTACTAATCGGCTCCTTGGTGGCTGAGCACACGTGGAGACCCCTATGTGCAAACAAAATCCACAAAAAGCGACAGTAGACAGTATAATTACCTGACACCATCCGACGTATTGTTGTCTAGTCTTTGATCTTTGATGTAAATGATAAATTTAGTTTCTTAGTTTAATAGGTCTGTTTATTTTCCAAAGAGAAAGGATCTTCCCTCTTTCAAATAATTTCTGTTTCTGCACATAATAAATGTAATGCCATGTGACTTACTTTATTAGACATCATATACTTACAAAATAAGCTATCACTGTGATGTAAATCAGTTTCATTGTCTTCATGTGTAGAAAGTGTAAACAGTGGGTTAATGTGTTATTTGTGCATTGTAAATAGAATGCAAACTGAAGAAATATATATTGTATACAGATACCCCTTTTTCTTTCCTTTGGGCATGTGTATAAAAAGTCCTGTCAAAGTATAATGTACGTCTGTGTGTGTGTGTGTGGGGGGGGGGGTGCGTGTGTTTGTTTGTTTTACATGTGAAAAAAGGGAGGGGGGGAGAGGGAGAGGGAGAGGGTGGAAGGAGAGGGAGTTACTATATTATGTAAATAAACATTTTCAAAGGTAATCAATGACCAGATATAGGAAAATTATTCATTTATTTATTTATCAGCTTATAAATTCACAGCATACAGAAAGTCTACATTTACTGCATGGAATCCATTCTTGAAAATACTTGCAACATCCAGATTATATATATATTTTGGCCTGCTTTTGCACTATAAATACCATGTACAGCCCTTCAAATAATCCGTAGTACAAGAATATGCAAAGATGATAAAATACAAATAATTAACCCCTTTGATCTGGTTGATGTGACCATCATGTCATGAAAAAATTTGGCTCATGGGTAGGGTGGTATGAACATGAAGTCATGATGTGAGCTTCCCACAGTGAGCATTTTGGCTGGGGTGACAAGAAAGACTCACTACAAGTACACAAACCTCTTATTGGGTGACTAAACTCATTTGGCATTTAGGAAGAGGGATTTTGCATCATTTCCATCAATACACAAGTGTGAAATGTAATGTCTGTGAGCTGTAACCAGCAGAGCATCATCTTCAGGAAGGGCTCTATATCGATACTCGGGATTCTATTCCTGTATGCCATGACCAGCGGTATAGGTTTTATTTTAAAAATTAAATAATACCCAAAAAATAAAAAATTAAACAAAAAATAAAATGTTACTTCTTGTTTTTATTCTTGCACTGAGTACAGACTACCAACAGAGATAATATGATTTGTGCTTGAAAAACAGTCTAATACTATCCGATTTAAGCAAATCAAACGAAAATATGGATACTGGAAGATAGCAAAAAAGCCGAGAACGCTTATTGTCAATGCACACGAGCGTTTGCATGTGTCCGGCCTACAAGCTGCGCACCCATCAGACAATCATTGACCAATCAAGTAAGCCTAATGCCCTTCTTTTGGCACATGTGATGGTAATGAAGCATCCAGATCCAATGAGGTCAAAGAACAAGATTTTGTACAAGCTGCTGTTGCTGCTAATGTACCCAGACAACAAATTTTTTCTTCACCAATGTCTGTAAATTTCTTGAAAATAAGCACTGGTTTTCTAATATTTGACACTAAAACAGGAGCACTTCTATTGATTTACTTTCTCTACATATAACAAACAGGAAAATGTCTTGGGCAGCTGAGTCCATGCGAGTAATCAAAGCTGGAATTTTTTGTTCATTCATAATCAACATGGTTTTCTATATATTAAAAAATAATAATAATAAATAAATGAATACAATTTTTTTTTTTAGCAATTATTAATAATACTAATAACATTAATTATATTGATAATAATAATAATAATAATTTTAATAATAATAATGATAATTTATAATAACAACAATAATAATAATAATAATAATAACAATATCAACAACAATTATATAACGGTAATGGAAACCCTAACAATGTTGATTGGAAAAATGATAATATAAATAAATAAAAAAATTGCTATATTTCAAGGGGAACATGAGAGAAGGTAGGCCTAGTAAATGACTCCTTGATAACTATGTAGCTGTTGACTCATCTATCTGTAAACACAATTACTAAAACAAAACCTCAGTAGACAGTGCAAGTACCTGGTAATAATGGGTTGATAAAAAAATAGCACAAAATCCAAACACCATGATATAATAAATAAATAAATAATCTTAAATGCTTACCACTCTTAGACCCATACCTTTATAGTACATACAACTAGGTTATTCTAAATTACTGAAAATAAAATATAATCTCAACTCCACTCTATATCTATATAATGACACTGTGATGTCATTTGCAAACACTGCTGGTGGGCAAACATTAATTTATCCTTATTTCTTGGTTTACAACATATCATTTTTGTTTCATGTACTCTTGCAGTTTCTATTTTTTTTCTATTACTGTTTAAAAACTATTCAGTTTTAAATTTTAGGGCTTTGTTGTTTTTTGCCTTTCAGCTTACTTCCCTTGCATGGACATTCAGCAGAGTGTTTATACTTATAATTCATACAGAGCAATATGAATCGGTTGCACACACATGCACACACGCACGCGCACGCACACGCATACACATACGCATACGCATACGCATACGCACACACGCACACGCACACACACACACACACATGCACACACACATGCACACACACATGCACACACACACACACACACACACACACACACACACACACACACACACGCACACACACACACACACACACACACACACACACACACACACACACACACATACACACACACACACACACACACACACACACACACACACACACACACACACACTCATGCTCACACACACTCATGCTCACACTCACTCTCCTCCTCTTCCTCCTTTATAGTAGGGCGCATGTCTCTTCATAAACAATAATACAGACTATGTCCCTGAACCAACCAAAAGACACAAAGCAGACCCGTATGATGATCATTCATCCAAGCATCTAAGTACCAAAAAGCCCATATAATTTTTCACTACATATATCATGATGAACCTTATAAAACACCGAATGAAATAGCAACGAAGCAATGTTGGAAGACTATACATTTCAAACAGCTTCAACAACAGTATACACAATCAGTATCTACATACTAAAACTTGAAAAATGAGATGCACAAGTTAGAAATCATGTATTTGAAAATACAAACAACACTGCATGGCATGGGGGATGAAATAATGCAAACTCAAATATTGACTGAACAAAAAAAACTATCATTATAATTACCCATGTCTATTCTGGACAGATAATAACCATTTTTTAATAATTAATATAATATAATATAGTGAGAACTATTTTCAGATATTCTTATTCATAGGCACAAAACTCTTGAAGGAAGATTAGATTCACTTGCCCTTTACGAAGGGGATTTTGAATTATCTTTACCGATAAACAAGGGGGGAACATAACATGGTTGGAAGAATGCCAGCTCTATGGAGGACAATCAGGATCCTATTCCTGATCTGTACTAAAAATGTGTTCATAAATCTTTGAAGCAAAAGAGGGACTTCATGTTATAAAACAAACACACACACACACACACACACACACACACACACACACACACACACACACACACACACACACACACACACACACACACACACACACACACACACACACACACACATACACACACACACACACACACACACACACACACACACACACACACAGGGGGGGGGGTACTGCTCTCCCAAAATCAACTAGTTTAGTACTCTTTTGCTACACATTTAGCCCACTCCACCCTTGAGACATCCTGGAACCAACTTTGAGCTCTATATCAAATGCTTGTGCTTGGAACAGTCACGTATATTGTGCTTATCTATCAGCTATACATCCAAAGAATATCTAAAAGAAACATTGAGATACACCACATAAATATAAAATAGATCTATGAGGGAAAGGACCCACTTTCACAAGAAACATAAAATTGTCACACCACACAGATTAAGCATCTATGATAGAAAAGGATTCATTTTCATGAATCAGGTTTCAATTTTTATGCATAGATATTCAAAGATTTTGTTGGAAAACATGGAATTATTGAACTGTGAGGAATGCAGAAGACAAATATGATAAATGACTATTGCAGTGTATATATCATACAGGAATGTATGAGACAGCTACTGTAATGGTTTCTGTTATATATGTACTACCAAACACTTATTAAAAATATAGGAAGAATAGAGATGCAGCTTTCCTCAACTGACTTTGTCACATTTTAAAAAATAAATAAAATCATACTAAAAATACAGCACCATTCAGATTAATTATGTTCATGTTTAAAAACTACTGTGAAAGGACAATTCCACAGTCTATCACAGTAACACGTGAAATATCAGGCAACTCAACTACTGACCTCAGGACATCAAGCCCACTCACCACCTGACCAAACACACCATTGTAACATCCATCATTTGCTCTGGTCAGAATGCCAAATCGACCACCAATACTGTCATTACTCCAGCCAAAAACAGCCCCCGAAGAAGCAGGTCGACTATATATGCCTCCCCAAGGAAGTCCTTGGATAATGGCAGCCCCACCTTCACCATCATAATCTCCCCCTGAGATACGTTCGCCAGACTCACCCTTACGATACACCTCTATCAGCTGTGTGTAAGCATAGCTTGGACCATTCTTCCCTGTACACAGTAGGCTAAACTGTAGTGCTCGTTGATTTGGACTTAGCTGGATATGGATTCGTTGAGGAGGTGACCCAGGCCAAGCCAGATCCAGGAATGCAGTAGGTGATGAGGTGTTCAATTGCTCTTCTATGTCAGTATACTGCAATTATAGTTTTTGATTAGGGAAAGTACTGTATAAATTTATATCAGAGTTGTCAAGTAATAAAAAAATAAATGCTGATTTATATATTATCTATAAATATCAAGTGAACTAAATCATCAATAGATCATAAATCTTTATCCGACTTCATCTATTTGTAATTAAAAACCATGAAAATGGATTCTAGCAGTTCTAATATTATAGCTTTTATATAAGTTGATCTTTCCAAGACAATCTAGAGACACAACATACACAAATGGACATATCTTGAGAGCAAGGCTACAACAGGTAGGCACATGTAACTGTCAGAAACAATGTATAGCTAATGTTTACTTATTTCTTTTCTACAGAATCTAAATCAATGGTCAATGGTCAATAGAGTTTCATTAAATATTTCATCTTATAAATTTGTCTCAATAATTTTTCCTACATTTTCTGTTACTATCATATACATAAATTAGTCATCTATGTTTTGGCACATTGGCAGGATATCTAAGGTTGTAGTGGCAACACCGACAGGGTCTACCAGTCCAGTAAGGAATGAAATAAACATTATACTGCATTATTTCTAATTAATTTACAACCATATTGATGGTATAGTCTCAGATTAGTTACAGGGTTATGCTCTTTAAAAAGGTCTCTACATATAAAGTACAGTTATATTAGAATTAAATCAATATTTTAGGTCTCACAATGGTATACAGATTTGGTAGTCTATCAGTTATGTATCACTAGGGATTACCAATGAATACCCATAACATGCAGAGCGTCAACTATTCCAGAACTCACAAAATGCTAATTAATGGAGGAAACACTATCACCTAAATACATATTACTTAACAGAACCCATCATAGAAGGGTGAAAAACATCAATATTCCTACCTGAAGTGTTTGGGCATATACCGGTGGCTTCTGCTTCCTAAGGTGATGAAGGTAAACCCTGTCATGTTGGAGGGTTATGCGGGCAGACCTTACCCGGCCTAGCTCCTGCATTACTGCAAACACCTTTCCTGCCTGTAGGAGGCTTCTCACATCATCATCTACCTGTTGGAGCATCTCAGCCTGTTGAACAAACTTTGACTAATTTGTAGTCATTACCAGTAATCTCTATATGTTTATAAGTTTCAAATCCTTCGATCACAACTTTGGGTAAATAATAATAATAATAATTTTTTCTTTTTGCTTATGACAACAATTTTCACTGACAAAGATTCATACTGCCTCATGTATTTGGATAGTTAAAAATTTCAGCATTTTCACCACAAATAATAGTTTTTCAGTTAGCAATCCTCCTCATCTAATTCATTTGGGAACCTGTGGGATAATGGAGTGGAGAGAGACAAATATAAAATGTAGCTGGCTGTAGCCTTATGTAGAATAAAAATGTGTTTTTGTGACAATTTATTCATGCACAATGGATACTTCATGGACAACAATTATGATTGCTTAATGGGAAAAAGTCAATCAATGTGTGTGTGTGTGTGTGTGTGTGTGTGTGTGTGTGTGTGTGTGTGTGTGTATATATATATATATATATATATATATATATATATATATATATATATATATATATATATATATATATATATATATATATATATATATATGTATATATATATATATGTATATATATATATATGTATATATATATATGTGTATATATATATATATATATATATATATATATATATATATATATATATATATATATATATATATATATATATATGTATATATATATATATATATATATATATATATATATATATATATATATATATATATATATATATATATATATGTATATATATATATATGTATATATATATATATGTATGTATATATATATATGTATATATATATATATATGTATATATATATATGTATATATATATCTCATTTTGCAACCAATTCAAGTCTTTACAATATCCCAACAAGCTCTAGATTGCCTTAAACAGTTAAAACTTACAAACTATTATATATCCATTTTAAATAACTTCACTTTTAACTCAATGGAAATGTCACAAATGGTGTCTTAAACTTTAAATTGATAATTCCTTGTACTATCTACTCTGATAGCTTTATTGTCATAACCAGAAAAAATATATTATTAACTTACTGACCATGAATTAAAATTTTCTTTGGAATACCAGTCAATTAGTTTATCATGCATGTGTAAATGTTTGCATTTGCATCATCTTAAAATGTCTAAAAAAAAAATAATTAATATGTAAAAGAATCTGGTTTATAGCTTTACAATAAGTCTCACATTTCTTTAAGGGAATCTTCAATAATTACAATCATAGTATTTCTATAATTAAGATTCACCATTCATATATGTTACTGTTTACATCATCTAATGATAAATGAGGGATTATGTTTACTTAATAATTTTTCTGTAAAGGAGATAATTTTTTTGTAAAGGAGCATATCAAAGCCATGCAATGTTCTTTTATCTGATTTTCAACGCCATGTACTCACATGTTTTGTGATATATTACTAAAGGATTTCAAAGGAATATTTAAAAAATACCAATTACCGTTAGTGGAAATGCCCCTCCTATTAGTATGTCGTGGGAACAAGTATTGTGCACACCAGAAATGGTGACAGGTGTCATTCCACGACTACTTGCTGACATTGCATCGACATCTCTCAGAGTAATCGCAGGCTCTAAATTTGTCTCATGTCTCACCATCCTCAGTGCCTTTCTTGTAGCTGCTCGAATCTGGCACACAAACAATCGTTTTAACAAGATTAAACTTTCTCAGCTGAAAATTATCATAAAACTGGAGCATTAAGTATTTAAAAAATAGATGTCATGAATATTACTACATACAAACAAGTGTCCTTTACTTTGATAGACCTGTGCACAGGATTAGCATCTTGGAAGAGTTCATCACATTTCTCAATCCAAGTCTCCGCTTCTGATTGGACAATCTCTGCATCATTAATGGCCACAAAAACATCCTGCGCTGTTTTGGCTGTGAAGAGTGATTCCTCGGCAAACTTCAGCTGCTGCTCTTGTGTTTCTCCCGCTTCCAGTACTTCTGCTACAAGACCATGTTCCTCTTTCAAGCTATCACGCAGCTCCTCATTCTGCTCTATTAAATCAGTCTGAATCTTTTTAATCAGGTCATCATGTTCTATTCCCCACTCAATTAATTTTCTTTTATATTTATCTAACTGAGATAGTTTCTCCTGAAATCCTAATGAAATATGATTAATGCTAGACAGTTGCTCATCTCTCAGAATGTTGATTTTGCTGCTGATATCTTTCCTTCGAGCAAGAGGTGCCCTTCCCGCTGCAGCTGCCCCCATCTCTCTCTTACTTAAAACTTCCTCAAGGTCATATGCAACTGGGAAGTGATTCTTGTCCGATGCTATGTGTTTGGCACGGCATCTTGGGCAGGTAAGAGAGCTGTTCTTTAACATGTCATCAATGCATACTGTACAAAAACTATGGCCACATGGGAGATTATGTGGCCGCCTCTGAGATTCATCATACACTTCCAGGCATACTTTGCACTCCTGTGGAATAAAGAGAGCACAATATATGTGAAAGCTATTAGATAAATTGATAATTTTTTCTGAGTATAGCTCTTTAAAAGCTGTTCACAGAGAAAGAAAAAAATGAACTTTGCATAATTTTCATGCAGTTTTTAAGAGAGTAAGTCATAACTTTTCTTATAAATTTCTTTCTAAACTACAACAATGACTAAGGTAAAATAATAATAATAATAATAATAATAATAATAATAATAATAATAATAATAACAACAGATCAATAGAAATTGTACAATTTCTATCTGTGCAATATGTATGTGACTTTCATGACACCATGAATCAAAGGAGAGAGAGAGAGAGAGAGAGAGAGAGAGAGAGAGAGAGAGAGAGAGAGAGAGAGAGAGAGAGAGAGAGAGAGAGAGAGAGAGAGAGAGAGAGAGAGAGAGAGAGAGAGAGAGAGAGAGAGAGAGAGAGAGAGAGAGAGAGGAGAGAGAGAGAGAGAGAGAGGAGAGAGAGAGGAGAGAGAGAGAGAGAGAGAGAGAGAGAGAGAGAGAGAGAGAGAGAGAGAGAGAGAGAGAGAGAGAGAGAGAGAGAGAGACGAGAGAGAGAGAGAGAGAGAGAGACGAGAGAGAGAGAGAGAGGGAGAGAGAGTAGAGAGGACGAGAGCGAGGAGAGAGAGGAGAGAGGAGAGAGTGAGAGAGCGAGAGAGGAGGAGAGAGAGAGAGAGTAGAAGAGGAGAGACCTGAGAGAGAGACGAT